CCCCCGCCCGGCCCGCCCCCGCCGCTCCAGGCCCCCGGCCCCACCACCCGCCTTCCCCGCTGTCCTCTCGGCCCCGGAGAGGAGGGAGGGCGGGCCCGCAAGCCCCACAACCAATCAGCTGGCAGAGAACAAAGATGGGCAGGAACCTTCACCAATAATCGTGAAAAAGTGGAGCTTCGGGACCGCCTTCTGGAGGGGCGGGGATTGTTCAAATAGACAACAGCCGCGGCCGGTGGCAGGCGAAAGAAGCTTAGGCGTAGTCCGGAGAACCAATCAGCTGTGAGTTGCTTTCGGTCACTTCCACGCACACATCCTGTACGTCGTCACTACGATTCCCCTCCGTAGGAGTTGTCACCGAGTGGAGACCCGGTCTAGGGGCTGCGCGCACCTATTGGAAAAGCTGGGCAGAAAATTGGGAACCGCGCCCGACATGACGCTGAGACGGGTGTCTGACACCCTCGAATTACTGTCTCGGGAACCGGTTTACTGAGGGACTCGTGCTTTCTCCTTTGTAAAACTCAATGTGCACTTGATGAAAGTTTTTATTTAATTCTCATTGCCTTACTTGTGATGTCATTCTCGAGAGACGGTTACCAAGAAGCTGCTTTAAATAAAAGATTTTAAAACAAAATCCTTAAAAAAAAACTTTCAAACAGTCAATAGCCGGAGCTGTAGATGTAGGTCAGTCAGTTGATACAGTTGAGTGCTTGCCCAACGTGTACGAAAGTCATGGATTCAATCCCCAGCAGCACAAGCGGGACACGCCTGTAATCAACACTTTGGAGGAAGAGGTTGGAGGATCAGGAACTCTAGGTCGGGCCTGGAGAGAAGCCTCAGTGATTGCGCTTCAGATAACTAGCACTCAGATGATGGCTCACAACTCCTTCCAACTCCAGTTCCAGGACGTGGTGCGTAGATGTACGTGCAGGCAAAAACCAATATATAAAAATATATCTTCAGGGGCTGGAGAGATGACTTAGAGGTTACGAGCAATGGCTGCTCTTCCAGGAGTCCTGAGTTCAATTCGCAGCACCCACAGGACAATATAACGGGATCGGATGCCCCCTACTGGTGTGCAGCCAGGCAAAGCACCCATATACATTAAATAAAAGTAAATGAATAAAAGATAAATCTTAAAAAAAATCTCAAGTGAAATTTATGCACATCTTTTTTGTGCAATCTTGTTTTGTTCTGTTTGTTTTTTGAGACAGGGTTTCTCTGCGTAATGGGCCTGGCTGTCCTAGAACTCAATTTGTAAACCATGCTGACCTTGAACTCACTGAGATATGCTTGCCTCTACCTCCCAAGTGCTGGGATTAAAGGTGTGCACCACCACAGTCCATCAAGAAGACATATTTTCTTTATATAGTACCACAAATTAGTTGCATAATAAAAAGAACTGTTGAAAGAATAAGCTTTTGTGTTTACTGCCATACCACCTTGAAAGCAAGTTTATAGAAGAAAGACAATGGGGCAATAAAGAAATACAGAGAAATCTCAAAAACCACCATGTGTTACCATGTAATTAGGGATGATGATTAGAAAGGGTCAGGGATGGTCAGGGTATTTTCAGACACAAGTCAAGGTCATGGCTTGTGACAGATCAGGCAGGCTCCAGGAAATAGATTAAAAACAGCAACTCAGTTCTTACAGTAAATGAAAACTTATTTTTAACAATCAGCATAAGAACCCCTACCTTCAAAATGGAGTCAGGCAGGTTCCTCAGCCTGAAGGGACTAGACCCTCACCCAGCCCCCTGCTTTAGCAGCCATGACAGGCTGCAGAAAAGACCCAGCAACACCTGCTTGCCTGACCTTGACGGACCTCCGAGTAACTAGGAAGTCAGGTACCCTCCACATGGCAGGGAACCAGTCAGAAGTTAGTTGGCGGTCTCTGGGCGTGCTTTACAGTAAAAGTAGTGTAACAGTGATGTGCAGAGCATAGCAACTGCCCTGGGAGAGCCTATAGGCCATAACAACCAATTGACCAGTCAACACAGGACAGGTCACCTAGGCCCAGAGTGCACCAGTCCTGAGACTGTTGCACACCCCTAGACACTCCCCTTACTCTGCCCAACGAATTCCCACCTCAAGGTTTCTCAGGGTCCTTCTCAAGCCAGCTGCCCTGTTGGACGGACGAGTTAATCTTTGTTTTGTTTTGTTTTTTGAGACAGGATTTCTCTGTGTAGCTTTGGAGCCTGTCCTGGCACTTACTCTGTAGACCAGGCTGGCCTTGAACTCACAGAGATCCACCTGCCTCTGCTTCCCAAATGCTGGGATTAAAGGCGTGCACCACCAACGATGGGCCTGGAGTTAATCTTAACTCGTTAAACAGTAAAAGACTCTTTGCTTTTGCATCAGAATAGGTCTCTTGGTGATTTTGGGGTTCAGAATTTGGGCACAACAAACCCTGTCTCAAAATATACATATGTGTGTGTTTGACAATTCTCCAATTTAATATATAAGAAATGTATCAGTTTTTAAATTTAAAAGCATTTTTTTTACTAATTGGGAGCCTTTACCTTATTTGCAAATGTTTATACACCTGTGATCCTGGCACTTGTACAACTGAAGCCTGGGGATCTTGAGTTCCAGGGTACAGTTGATGCTGTGTCAAAAAGTAAGAGAGGATCTGGGCGGTGGTGGCACATGGCTTTAATCCCAGCACTCAGGAGGCAGAGACAGGTGGATCTCTGTGAGTTCAAGGCCAGCCTGGTCTACTGAGCAGGGCCATCAAGATGGCCCAGGATAAAGGCACTTGTCACCAAATTTGAAGACCTGAGTTCAAACCCCAGAACTCACCTGGTGCATGGAGAGAACCTAACCCTGCAAGTTGTCCTCTGCCAGCACACCTGCACCTCCTCCATAAATAAACATTTGGAAGAGAAAAATAACATTAATTTAAAATGTAAAACTTGAAATAAGGAGTGGAGGGATGGCTCCTTGGTTGAGTACCGGCTGTTTTTTCAGAGGACGAGCTTCAGTTCCCATATTAGGTAGCTCACTACAGCCTGCTAATTGTAGGATTGGGATGTAGTTCGCATGGCAGATTATCTGCTTAGTGTGCAGAATCCTTGGTACCACACCAAGGCAAGTGTGTGGGTGAGTGTTTATAATATAAGCGCTCAGGGCGTTGGACAAAGTTTAAGGAGGGTTCAGAGTTTCAAGGTTATTATGGGCTATTTTGCCTGTTCTGGGCCAAACTGGGCTACTGGTCCCTATCCCTTTATTATTGGATTTTATGTGAATGGGTGTTTTGGCTGCATGTATATCTACTGTGATCTTCTTGCACGAATGCTTACCCTGTGTGTGCCTGGTGCCCTCAGAGGCCAGAAGAAGGCACAAGATCCTCTGGAACTGCATTGAGAGGTGGTTTTGAGCTGCCTTCTGGGTGCTGGGAATCGAACCCAGGTTCTCTGGAAAGGCAGATAGTGCTCTTAACCAGTGAACCATTTCTTAAGGCCTGGCCCTGTTTTCAAAGAAACAAACAAAAAGCCACCCGGACGTTGGTGGCGCATGCCTTTAATCCCAGCACTCGGGAGGCAGAGGCAGGCGGATCTCTGTGAGTTTGAGACCAGCCTGGTCTACAGAGCGAGTGCCAGGACTGCATCCAAAGCTAAACAGAGAACCCCCCCCCCCGGCAAAAAAAAAAAAAAAAGACAGGGTCTCATGCAGCCTGGACTGGCTTCGAACTTACTATATTATAAGGGATGTCCTTGAACTTTCTTCCTACCAAGTTCTACAACCACAGAGATGCACCACCAGGCTCGGCTCGCACACAGTATTTTCAACGTAGGATTTACTGGGGTAACCATCATCCCCATCACAATGAGTCTTAAACAGTAAGTGAACCAGTCAAGTACATCGCAAAACGACACGCCCTGAAATTCTTGGAATGCTAAACTACTCTTGCTGTTAGTTCATTTGTTGAACCTGGGCTCTAGCTTCTTGACCACGCCCCTCTCCGACCACACCCCTCTCGGCCTTCTCCCGGCCCTGCGGGCCCCGGGCCTGGGTTTCCGGGCCGGCCTCTTGAGGCCGATGCACAAGATGGCGGCGCCGGCGGCCCGCTGGAGGCCGCAGGCTGTGGCGGGTAGTTGAGTTGTGGTGCGGGACAGGGAGCCCCACAGGCCTCGCGCAGGTGACAGGTGGTCGGGCAGTGCCGCCCGCCCCGTGGGGGTGCATGGCCTGCTCTCTGCCGTGTCCCGTTTTCACTGCCGCCCAAACCCTGTCCGGGGGCGGAAAAGGAAGGTCAGGCCAGGCCGCCCCGCCTATCTTCGTCCCGGGGCGGTCCCCGTGAGTGGCTCTCTTTTAGAATTGACTTTAGCCACGTGTAGCTTCCATGGCTGCGTTGCAGGCCCCGGGGGAGAAGATTAATATCCAGGCAGGAGAGACGACCAAGGTCGGGGACGGGGACCCGCCGGGGGACGAGTGGCCCGAGCAGGACAGGCTTCCACAGCGTTCCTGGAGACAGAAGTGCGCCTCCTATGTGCTGGCCCTGAGGCCCTGGAGCTTCAGTGCCTCACTCACCCCTGTGGCCCTGGGCAGTGCCTTGGCCTACAGATCCCAGGGTGTCCTGGATCCCAGGCTGTTGGTGGGTTGTGCAGTGGCTGTCCTGGCTGTGCACGGGGCCGGAAATTTGGTCAACACTTACTATGACTTTTCCAAGGGCATTGATCACAAAAAGAGTGATGACAGGACTCTGGTGGACCGGATCTTGGAGCCCCAGGATGTTGTTCGATTTGGAGTCTTCCTCTACACCTTGGGCTGTGTCTGTGCCGCTTGCCTCTACTACCTGTCCACCCTGAAACTGGAGCACTTGGCTCTCATCTACTTTGGAGGCCTGTCTGGTTCCTTTCTCTACACAGGAGGTAAGAACTGGTCTGTTTCCTGCTCTAAAGTCCCAACTGCATTAACTGGAAACTGCTACTGTACATAGGAATTGTACAAGTGTCAAAGACGCTTTACTAAATTAGGCCAATTGCTGGAAATCCAAAATGTATGTGCCGTGTATACTTTGAAAACCTTAAGTTGTGAAGACCCGGGTTTGGAACTTACCAGCTAGAGACATGGCTTAGCCTTAAAGATCTCTTTCTTCGGGGGCTGGAGAGATGGCTGTGTGGTTAAGAGCACTGGCTGCTCTTCCAGAGGTCTTGAGTTCAATTCCCAGCCACCACATGGTGTCTCACAACTATCTATAATGGTATCTGTCTTCTTCTGGCGTGCAGGCATATATTCAGATAGCACTCATATACATAAAATACATAAATGGGGGAGATACCATGACCACAAAGTGGCCCTCTTAGAGCGAATCTTCACCACTGCACTCCAGATGTGCTGAGCAGACCCCCGTGATTTCCCCAAATGCAGGAAACTAGGTTGAATGAGAGAGAGAGAGAGGAGGAGAGAGCGAGAGGAGAAAGGTCTCTTACTGTTCTTGCAGAGGACTCATGTTCAGTTCCCAGCACCCATGTTGGGCACCACACAAACACACTTGACTTCAGCTCCAGGGGATCCCCCTGTGGCCTCAGTAGGCATCAGCACACATATGCACAGAGATACACATACACATTAAATCTAAAACAACATAATGTGGGCTGGCAAAATGGCTCAGTGGATAAAGACACCTACTGCTAAGCCTGATGACTTGAGTTTGATCTCCAGGACCCCCAAGTTAGGAGAGAACCAACTTCCAAAAGCTGTCTTCAAACCTGTCTAACACATGTGCATGCACTCAAAATAAAAAAAAAAGTTTAACATGTAATAAGAAAGCATAGTGGTAACTATGTAAACCGTTGATGTAGGCATTTAATTTTTCATTTTGTCATCTTCTGTTTTATTCTCTTGGGACCACTGTGTATCTGGCCCATCATTAACTGAAGTGTGATGCGGCACATAACTGGGTGTAAGAGGCGGTAAGTGCTATGGTGACAGGGCAGAGAAGGGGACACTGATGACGATTTTAAGTAGTTTGGTTGGCAGGGACCTCACTAAGGAGGTCATACCTGAGCTAGATTGAAGGTAGTGAGAGATGATGGGTTTGGCGTGTAGGTGTCTGGGAGTAGAACTCTAGGTTTGGGGACAACAAATGCCAAAATGCCTGATGACTTTGAGGAAGAGGAAGAAACCCACTGTGTGCATGAAGGAGGTAGTCCAGGTAGCTAGAGGAAGAGGGGTGTGTCCTGGGAGGGTGGGAGGCTTGCAGACTGTATTGGCAGGTCCTCCCTTTGGGCCTGTGGATTTTAAAGTGCAGGGACCATTGCAAGGCTTTGAACAGCAGTGTGACATCATAGCTTGAAAGAGTCTCTCTGGCTATGGTATTGGGGATGGATAAATAGGGTGGGCAGGATGGGAGAACAAAGACCGAGTCAGAGGCCTTGAGCCATTCAGGCAAGGTGTTTGGTGGCTTGCACCCAGGTGGTGGCCACAGAAAGGCAGGTTCTGAATTGACTTTGGAGGTAGACATTGTTTTCCAGTAGACTGGTCTTGGGTAGGGTTACCACAGAATTAAGTTTAACTCAGAAGGTTTGGCCTGAGCCACTGGAAGGGTATAGTTGATGTCGTCGTGCCAGACGGGAGAAAGGCAAGGCTAGAATGGGTTTTTGGAGGGAAGTCAGGAGATCCACTTTGGACATCATAATGCTAGAGCTCTAAGTGGAGAGGTGTGATCTGGGCGGTGGTTAATGGAGGAGGCCTGGGCTAGAGACATCTTAATGTTAGAGCTCCAAGTGGAGAGTGTGAGCTGGGCGGTGGCTAACGGAGGAGGCCTGGGCTAGAGAGACAGGGATTTGGGAGCCACTAGAGTTGGTGAGAAAGCAGCAGTTCTAGCCTGAGAGGAGGGAAGGTGAGGACCATGTGAAGGAGAAGGAAGGAGTGGGAAGAAAATCAAGAGACTGCAGTTGCCCGGCAGCCAGTTGTAAATTTAGGGCAATTAAGGAAGTTGAGGCAGAGGCAGGCAGATCTCTGTGAGTCTGAGGCCAGATTGGTCTATATAGTGAGTTCTAGGTTAGACCTTGTCTCAAGACAAAGGAACAGGAAGTTTGATAGAGGCCGAGTATCGTGGTCCAAACTTGTAATACCTGCACTGGGAGACTGACTGATCAGGAAGGTTTGAACAAGTCTACACAGTGAGGTTCTGTCTCAAAAACAAAAAAGTTTGATAAGGGAAACCTGTAGAACACTGGTAGAAAGTGTAAGTTGGTGGTGAAGGAAAGAGGCCCTCTGTTAGTCAACTTTCTGTTACTGTAACGAAATACTCGAGTTAATTGATTTAAAATGAGGAAAGGTTTATTTAATTTTAAAGGCTTCTGTTTATGATTGTTTGACCTGTGACATTTTGGTTTTTGGCAAGATAGTACATGCAGCAGGAAGCCATAGCTGAGGAAGTCCATTTATCTTGGGTCTGGGAATGAATAGAGAAGGAGGTGGGCTGGACTCGGGTCCCAACGTCTCCTCCAAGTACACACCCCTGAGTGACTAGAAGGCCTCCTACTAAGGCTCCACTCGTCTTGAACATTCTGTCACTGGCTTGGCAGATCTAGTGCTTGCTGCACCAGGTTTGACTTCCAGCACCACACAGGCCACTTGGAGCCTCCTGTGTAACTCCAGCTCCACAGGATCTGGCATCTTCTGGTCTCCACAGGTAACTACATGTGTGTTCCATCTGCCCACACTGACGCATACACATAAATAAAAATAGATGTTAAAGACAAAATATTCCACCAGCCCAGGGACCAACTACACACCCCTTGGGAATTCTTCTCCAGACCAAGGCATTCTCCTTATTTAAGTGATATTTTAACCAAGACTTGAAGGAAACAAAACCGGCCCTGGCTGAAGGGTCGAAAGTGCAAAGGTCTCTTCCCAGTGTAGTCCAGAGGAGAATGAGGCCCAGGTGGTGGGCATCAGTCTGTCGCCAGAACACACTGGGGGCCGTTTCCATTGCTCTTGGCTTCCTACTGTGCAGCCTCCAGAGCTCAGTCCTGTCTCTTCTTTTCCCTTGGTTCCTTTTATAGCCAGTCTCACTTGTTGAGCCGGTGACTCTCATGCTCTAGGCTGGGAAACTCCAGACTTGCATCTGACAGTCTTTTGGGGTGTAGATGCTGGGACTGGACAGCATCCAGTGCTCTGCTCAGTGTGGGCCTTACCTGCCACCACACCCAGCTCTTGCTCACTCCTAGAGCATGTCTCAAGTCAAATTCCTGGTCATCTCTCCAAGGACATTTGCCTCCTATGTACTTTCCCATTTTATTCAGTGGCATTTTTTTCTCCTCTTTTTTTTTTTTTAATGTGTTTGTGTGTAGGGGGTCACATGCTAGGGAGGCACTCCCATTGCACCCCAGCCCACTCATAACTTCATCCTTCTAGCTCTTTAGACCCAAAGCCATGGGCATCCTTCTTTGTTTGTTTGTTTGAGACAGGGTTTCTCTGTATAGCCATGGCTGTCTTGGAACTTGCTTTGTAAACCAGAGATCTACCTGCCTGGACTCTTCTTATATCTGGCACCAGCAAGTTGCATTTCTGTTAAAAAATCCGTCTGAGATCTGACCACTTCTCCCCATGTCCTGCTTCTACCATGACCCCCTTCCCTGGAGGACTGCAGAAGCTCCTAATGGTCTCTCTGCATTTGCCCTCCTCCCTTTCAGGCTATTGCCAGATCATTACCCACAGTAACCCTGTGAGTGGAAGGCGCTGGCAGCCCTCCGTTTAACACTCTTCAGTGGCTCCTACCTCAATCAGAGGAGAGCTAAGTCCTTATAGTGACAGCCAGGACGCCGCATTATCTGCATACCCCTGGCCTCCCCAGTTCTCACCTGCCCTCATCTTCCTCTTGGACCTAGAATGTCAAGGTCTGCACTTTACAGGTGCCAGCCTCTGTTTGCAATGCTCTTTCCCATCTCTGTGTGGCTTACTCTGACCTCCCTTGTCACCTGCTTTGGGAGGCTTGGATTTCTTTTTTTTTTTTTTTGAGACAGGGTTTCTCTGTGGCTTTGGAGGCTGTCCTGGAACTCTGTAGACCAGGCTGGTCTCCAACTCACAGAGATCCGCCTGCCTCTGCTTCCTGAGTGCTGGGATTAAAGGTGTGTGCCACCAACGCCCGGCTGAGGCTTGGATTTCTATCTTGTTTAAAATTATACAGTTAGCCAGGTGATGCTACAGTTAACTGTGTCTATAATCCCAACACAGGAAGCAGAGGCAGCCTGGACTTCCAAGTGACCCCCAACACAATTCAAACAAGGTCGAGTGTGATAGAGGGAGGCATACACATGCACAACAGTTAGCACAACTGCACATGTGTGCACAGCACATGCTACACACGTAAGTTAACTGCACGTGTGTGCACAACACATGCTACACACGTAAGTTACTCATGGAGCGAACAACTAAGATTGGCATGTATTGAGATAATCTCACTTATCTTTTTAAATGTTTATTTTTACTTTATGTGTACATGTGTTTTGCCTACATGTATATATGTATACCAGGTATGTGCAGGTTTCTGCAGAGTCAGAAGAGCCTCAGATCCCCAGAAAGTGGAGTTACAGGCTGTTGTGAGCTGCCTTGTGCTGGGAACTGGACCTGGGTCCTCTGGAAGAGCAGCCAGTGCTCCTAACCACTGAGATATCTCTCCAGCCCTGTAGATTTCCTCCTCCTCCTCCTCCTCCTCCTCCTCCTCCTCCTCCTCCTCCTCCTCCTCCTCCTCCTCCTCCTCCTCCTCCTCCTCCTCCTCCTCCTCCTCCTCCTCCTCCTCCTCCTCCTCCTCCTCCTCCTCCTCCTCCTCCTCCTCCTCCTCCTCCTCCTCCTCCTCCTCCTCCTCCTCTTCCTCCTCTTCTCCTTTTTTTCTTCTGACACAGGGTTTCTCTGTGTAGTCCTGGCTGTCCTGGAACTCACTCTGTAGTTCAGGCTGGCCTCGGCCTCGCTCTTAGAGATCTGCCTCTCTCAGAGTGCCGGGATTAAAGGTGTGTACCACACTGCCCATCTTTAGATTTCCTTTTTTTTTTTTTTTTTTTAAGTTTTTTTCGAGACAGGGTTTCTCTGTTAGTTTGGAGGCTGTCCTGGAACTAGCTCTTGTAGACCAGGCTGGCCTCGAACTCACAGAGATCCGCCTGCCTCTGCCTCCCGAGTGCTGGGATTAAAGGCGTGCGTCCGGCTAGATTTCCTTTTAACATTGACTTTTACTGGTACAGAACTGACATGCAGTGAAGTGTGTTTGTTTCATATTAGACAAAAAAGGGGAATTGTGGTGATATATTATTTATTTATGATTTTATGAAGCTTGCCTGAGGTATCAGAATGCAAAGCCAGCCACACTAGTTAGCTATAGAAACTGGGCAGTGGTGGCACACACCTTTAAACCCAGGACACAGGAGACAGATGTAGATGGATCTCTGTGAGTTCGAGGTCATCCAGTTACATTAAAGTAAATCAGTCTAAAAGAGAAACAGCTTATACAAAGGAGATCCTCAGCACTTGGAATCCCACACCTTTAATCCCAGCTCTAGAGAGGTACATAAGATAGGAGCCAGGCATTCAGTATTCAGTCTCAGAGACTTATTCTCCAGCCACATTGAGGACAGGACAGCCCCCTTTCAGCCTGAGGTGGAGGTAAGAGCAGTGGCTGGCTGCTTTGCTTCTCTGATCTTTCAGGCAATCCTTATTAAATCATGAATAATTTATCACCACACTTGACAGATGTGATGAACGTCCGTAGTCCCTGCATTTCCCAGGGCGTCCTTGGGCTCTTCACACCAGCCCCACCCCACCCATCCACATCTCTATGCACAGGCAACTGCTCTTCTAGTTTCTTTTCCTCAGATTAGTTCTGTGTGGTCTAGAGCATCACGTAGAGGAACCCATTCTATATGGACTACTTGTGCTTTATTGCAATATGAACTTTGGTGTTTTTGTACTTGCTGTTTTGGGATTTTGTTTCCTTTTGAAACAAGGTCTCTCTAAATGGCTCTGGCTAGCCTAGAATTCACTATGTAGACCAGGCTGGCTTCCAACTCACAGAGATCCACCTGCCTCTGCCTCCCAAGGGCTGGGATTAAACGTGTGGGCTTCCATGTCTGAGTCTGGCTTCTTTTGCCCAATGTGATGTTTTTGAAGCTCACTGTGTTGTCACTCATGTCACTGCTCCTTTTTATTGTTGAACAGCATCTGTTGAGAGGCACACCCCACTGTGTTCTGCTCACCTGTTCAGGGCCCTCTGGGTTGTAGCTGTTTTTCTATTGTGACTGAGCATTCGTGTTCAAGTCTTTATGAGTATTTGTTTTCATTTCTCTTGAGTAAATTCCTGGAAATGAAACTGTTGTGACCTCCACTGGGTGACGTTTAATTCTACAAAGAGCTGCCAACCCCTTTCAGAAGTACTTGTACTGTTCATATTCCCACAGCAGCATAAGACTGAAGTGGCTCTGTGCCTTTGCCAGCTTCCTCCCTGAGTTAGCCTCTTTGTTTGTAGCCAGGCTGGCTAGAAACTCATGATCATCCTGCCTCTGTCTTCCAAGTGCCAGTGTTACAGCCATGTGCTACCACCTGGCCCTTGCCAACTTTTTGATGTAGTCTTAACAGATTAATTCTGGCTGCTACGTGGAGAACGGTCCCAGTACTTCACTCCGCTATCTCCTTCAGAATGTGGTGTTGGGAGGGGGGGAATGGTTAGAGATTCCCATGTGGGTCACATCTCTGAGTCAGGAGGGTTAGGGCCATGTCTTACACACTGAGAGAGTGTTCCCTCCAAAGGCTCTGTCATTTTCTTGCATCAGATAAACTCAAGATTATTTTATGACCTTTCTCCTTCCTTGAATGGTTTGTGCTTGGCTTTGGTGGAGGAGCTGCTTAAGGTGGGGACCCAGGTTTCTGTAGTAATTCTGTTTGGTTTTGCTTTGCTTTGGAGCTTAAATACAGTTTTATTAGAGTCAGAGAGAAGATCAACAGGGAAAAGCAAGCTGCAAATCTCTAGCTGCTGGGAGAAGGGAGATGGAAAAGAGAAAGAGAAAAAGTTGTGCCTTTTGCAATAGAGGTAGACAAGCAGCCATGCAGTGGAAAGTCAGGGGATGCAGAGGAGGAATGAGAGAGCCCAGAGTGTCTGGGGAAGCGTGCTTATGACTGAGGCTCCAAAAGCAGCTGCCTCAAAGAGTCACTTTTTGCGGAAGGAGGGGTCTTTGGATCATCCAGCCCTAGGTCACTTCTTCCTCATCCAGAATCCTGTTGTGGTGTGTAGGTCAGTGACTGTAAGGAAATGGGGGGTAGCATTGTGCTAGCCTGGCCTGGGAGGAGGCTTCCTGAATACCTGCAGTATTCAGGGGTTGGGGGAGTTGGGGGTGGGCTCATTAGTTTGCTGCTGGTGTTCTGTCAAGGGAACTTCCTCCTGGGCATATGTCCTCGGATAACCAAGGCATGGCTGTGTGGAATCGGCTTCCTGGCGCCAGGGAACTGAGGGGTCATGCCTGTGGTGCCTTGTCAGATCGCTGCATGTTAAAAACCGGAGTGTTCCATCTGCTGCCAGAGACCCACAACTTCTTCTTCGAAAGTGAAATTGGCCAGATCTTGGTCCTTGGTTCCCATGATTTTGGATTCCCTGCAGATCATTGTCATCTGTCATTTTAGACTGGTTAAGATGTGATTGGATACTCTGAGGCTATGCCTTATAGCATCATTAGATCCAAAGGCTTCCCAGCTATAGCCTACTGTAGCCACACCTTTGACCTTTAGGTCTTATGACTTACTGAGGACAGTTTTGAACTCTCTGCTCTTGAGCCAAGATGGAGTGCAGCCATCTTATGGGCACCGACAATCTAATGCAGTGGATCATAAAGCCTCCCCATGCTCTTGGGCTCCTGTCATCTCTGTGTACTGGGAGTTCATCTCTGTGTACTGGGAGTTCATCTGTGTGCACTGGGAGGTCATCTGTGTGTACTGGGAGTTCATCTCTGTGTACTGGGAGTTCATCTCTGTGTACTGGGAGTTCATCTCTGTGTACTGGGAGTTCAGGGCAGAAACTGGTTTTAGGGACAAAACCTAAAAGGCAAACTTGGCAGGTACCTGGCCGTTGAGCTCAGAAACTGAGTCTGTATCGGGTCATTTGGGTACCCCAGTGATTGCTTATCCTGACAGCCTCTCAGCAGACACGGCCATCTCTTGGACAGCCAGCCCCTCAGTGTCCAGCCCTTGATTCACACTCCTCTCTGGCTTTTCTGGCTGCAGGAATTGGATTCAAGTATGTGGCACTGGGAGACCTGATCATCCTCATCACTTTCGGCCCGCTGGCTGTGATGTTCGCCTATGCTGTCCAGGTGGGGTCCTTGGCCATCTTCCCTCTGGTCTATGCCATCCCTCTGGCCCTCAGCACGGAAGCCATTCTCCATTCCAACAACACCAGGGACATGGAGTCTGACCAGGAGGCCGGCATCGTCACGCTGGCCATCCTCATTGGGCCCACCTTCTCATATGTGCTCTACAACACGCTGCTCTTTCTGCCCTACCTGATCTTCAGCATCCTGGCCACGCACTGCAGCATCAGCCTGGCGCTGCCCCTGCTCACCATCCCCATGGCTTTCTCCCTTGAGAGGCAGTTCCGCAGCCAGGCCTTCAACAAGCTGCCCCAGAGGACAGCCAAGCTCAACCTCCTGCTGGGGCTTTTCTACGTCTTTGGCATCATCCTGGCACCAGCAGGCAGTCTGCCCAGACTCTGAGGAGACAATCAGCTCCCACCACAGCACAGCCCCTCCTTAGAATGTGCAAAAGCAGAGACTGAGAAGGGGTACACCTGGCCAGGGTGGGTGCTCAGCATGGGCTGCCAACGCCTGTCCTTAAGTGTTGGGATTATCTTGGTAAAGGTAATCTGCGTGTGATTTGTTTCCCTCCTTATGGGGAGCCCTGAAACCACTCTCGTGTCAGAAGATGAATTGGACATACTGTACTTGTGTTTCTTATAATCTCCACTAGAGGGTGTTGTCGGGCCACTTTCGGATGGAAGGTCCATCTCCCCTTGTTCTAAACAGAACGCCCTAACAATTTATGAAGGAGCTGTGTCCCAGAAGAGCCACAGTGACAAGGCACAGTGCTGTCCTGTTACCTTGGCACATAGGAGATGCTAATAATTGGTGCCAGGTCCCATTAACATGGAGCACCTGTCCCCTGAATGTGCTGCCTGATAGAGAAAGTCCCTCATTAACAGCCATGTGGCTCCCGGCTTTTTGCCTAGGTGGTGGGCGGTTCAGACATTTCTGTCCTTCATGTCTCCTTTCACTCGTCACCATTGTTGAGGAAAATGTCAGCTCACCCTGCAGCAAGACAGACAAGCCTGAGGCGGCTGAGGCAAGCAATCTGTTCTCAGTAAAGCCTGTCATGGGGCTGCTTCCCTCTGTAGAATCCATGTGGCAAGCAATCTGTTCTCAGTAAAGCCTGTCATGGGGCTGCTTCCCTCTGTAGAATCCACTAGGATGGCAATAATTATTGGGACCCAGAGTGGGAGTGGGATGGCCATTTAAAGCCCACAGGCCTTGTCTCCTCCCAGCTGCCTCCCCAGCGCTACTCTTGCCTGCCCTACATCTGTTTCCCAGTCCCAGACTGTGGGCAACAGTCACACGAGTCAGGCATATTGTCCCCATCCACAGAGCCACAGTATGGGCAAAGAAGGGGTCTGGTGAATGCATGCACACACCAATGGACAGGAGTCCCGGCCACACTCAGCCAGAGTGAGAAGCCCTGCCAGTGAAAGAACTATGAAGTACGGTCCCTCCTCTCCCGGTGTCTCACCCCCTCCTGTCGTACCCTTGGAAGTATAGCTTCTGCACTGAGATTGTCACATCCTCATTGTGCTCTGTTCTGTGATCGGCTGACCTGGAGGGCACTGCAGGGTCTCAGCCTGCAGAAAACGACCTTGAGTTAGCACTGAGTCACTTCCTTGGGAAAAACATTTGAAAATTTCCCAGAGTTCCTTTGTAGTCAGTATGATTTGTCTAAAGGAGAGCCTGGGTTCCTGAGCTTGGATGGGGTCCAGGAGTCTTGGAAAGGGACATTCCTTTCCTCTTCTTCCCAGCATGCCAGGTTTGTGACATTTGGTGCTGCTGAGGGTCCTGCCTTTGGGGCTGACCACTGTCACCTGGAGGACCAATGGCTTTTACTGTGCAGGCCTGACACATGGCTAACCTCATCAGAACCGTGTCAGCTGCTACACCATGCTCTGGGACAGATTTTAATGCCTATTTTTATATATGATCTCCAGAGGCCATATTTGGTGCCACATTTTATATACAGGCCACTATAATTTATATTATGTCTCCTGATTTAATGAAGGTTTCCTATAGATTTGTTAATTAAAATATGAGAAAACATCCATCAGTGCCTTGGTGTTTCTTTGCTTTCCTCCTGCTTCTCTTACTGTGGGAATGTCCAGAGATCTCAGGCGAGTCAGGCATGGTGGTGCACACTTTTAATTCCAGCACTTGGGAGACAGGCTGGTGGGTCTCTGGGAGTTTGAGTCCTGCCAGAAACACACAGTGAGACCCTATCTCCAAAACAAAACTCATTCCAGGCCTTTGGGACAGTTCAGTGTGGTGGAGGGACACCTCATTAGCAGTGATGAATCTGGGTACTTAACTGTTTGAGCAGCGTTGATGGGCTATGTTGGCAGGTCTTGTGTCAACTTGACACAAGCTAGAGTCACTGGAAAGAAGAGAACCTCAGTTGAGAAAATGCCTCTGTAGGACTGGGCTGTAGGCAAGCCTGTAGGGCATTTTCTTAATTAGTGACTGATGTGGTGGTTCTGGGTTCTATAAGAAATCAGGCTGAGCTGGGCGGTGGTGGCACACGCCTTTAATGCCAGCACTTGGGAAGCAGAGACAGGCAGATATCTGAGTTTGAGACCAGCTTGGTCTACAAGAGCTAGTTCCAGGATAGCCTCCAAAGCCACAGAGAAACCCTAACTCGAATTCCCCCCTCAAAAAAAAGGCTGAGAAAGCCATGGGGAGCAAGCCAGTAAGCAGCACCCCTCCATGGCCTCTGCATCAGCTCCTTCAGGTTCCTGTCCTGTTTCTAATGTCCTTGTCTTCTAATGATGAACAGTGATGTGGAAGTGTAAGCCAAGTAAATTCTTTCCTCCCCAAGTTGCTTTGGTTATAGTGGTTTTATCACAGCAATAGTAACCCTACCTAGGATGGGACCTTAGGAAAGGTGGCAGGGACCATTTGGAGCCAGCTGGCCAGACCACATTAACCTCATTTCTCTCTTATCCTCCCTACTTATATTCTTCTTAGGCTAGGACACTATGCTGATGGATTAGGAACAGGTCGTAGATGGAGTGGGTTTATGTTTCGGCTAGGCATTTGACAATATATCCTTATGAACGAGGCAGAGATATGTGGAATGGATATCACCGTAGTTAGATAAATTCCTGAGGCTGAACGCACCAGGGGAGAGAGCTGACAGATCGGCATGTCAGCGGCAGCCCGGAAGGGAGCCTTCAGCAGCACATTCGAGCAAGCCCTGCCCTCTGCCCTTTGCCCAGCTAGATTCCACGCCTGTTATTAGCAATTGGCGTAAGAGCCCAAATTGAAGCTCCCATGAACCTCGGAGGAAGGGCTTCTAGAAGGACTGATAATTAGGACGCTCAGGAATTAGAAGTTCGCTTTGGTAGGTCAGCAGAACAAGTGAGCATGAATAAATGCAGAGCGATGCTCTCGGGTCTCCCAGACATGGGACTGTGATTAAGAAGGAGCTGACCTGTGGCCACCAGAGCAAATGTGCCTGTGGCACGGTTTTATGAATGACTCTAGGCTGCATGGTCACACGCCTTTGCCATTTGAGTCAGACTATCCTGCTTACCCAGTGAGTAGCAGGGAATCCAACTCCAGTCACCTCAGGCTCTTCCCATGCCTCTAGCGTCAGGGATCCCTCAGTCTCCTGGGGGCCAAAGTCAGGGATTTTAAGTGGGCCTTGGGTCCTTCCATTCTCCAGCTGTAAGGCTGTCTCTCTTCTACCCGGTGCCAGGGTTCAGGACTGGAATTCACTCTGCTTCTCTTGAAGGGTTCAGGATGCCCCTTCCTGCTGACAGGTACCATGGGTCTGTGGGGTACACTGGTCCCTCCTACCTCATGCCCATTTCTGTCCCGGCTCAGAGAACTGTCCTTTCTGTGGTCTCTGTCCACCTCTGCTGCTCTGAGTGGCTCCCCTTCCATGCCACCTAGAAGACCTTGGAAGCTTAGGGCTGGCCTCTGCAGCCTGAGGGGCTGATTTGTGAATCTAGGGTATGCTGTTTCACTGACTGCTACTTCTGTATTAATAACTAAACCCACACCCAGGATCTGGTCCTAACCTCAGACTAAGACAATGATGACCTTGGTGAAGGTTACGGTGATCTACAAGATGAAGAGGAAGGCTATTTATAGTCCAGAACGTGGAGGCAGAAGGCCTGGTCATCCCTGCATTGGCCATTTTTTATAGGCTAGGCTTGAACCTGCACACCTTGCTCACCAGGGGAAGAGTCAATGTGGAGACAGATTAAGAGCATATCACAGAGGTACACACTCAGACTTCAGAAGTGCCTTTGGCAGTATATGGAATGCAGAATAAAGATATAGTTGGCGGCAACTTCATTTCTAGGTGTGTGTGTGTGCGTGCGTGCGTGCGTGCATGTGCGTGCGTGTGTGTGTGTGTGTGTGTGTTGCATGGGTAACAGCTGCAGCAGAGATTTTAGTTTCTCAGTGTGGGAATCATATTTTGAAGGTGCTATTAACAAACTGGATCCTGTCCAAGAAGCATTTGGAAGAAGGGCGAGGGCACATAAAACCACATTGTCTTGGAAGGAGACCCAAGACTGCCGTCTTGGGGAAGAGTGATCCGGCTGGGTACGTTGTGTTCAAAGAGCAAAACCAGGGCATGCAGGTGGGACTTAACCCAACCCCACGTTTAAGCTTTTGTGTTGAAAGAAATGTCTCTAGCCATGAGTAGAAACAGCCAGAGAGGTGTTCAAGAACATCCCAGTGGGTGGTAAATTCCTGTAACTAGAGGCATTCAAAAGAACAAGTGGTTCCTGGTCAAGAATGCTGAAGCCCAGAGTCACTCCAGAGAGAGCCTGGATGACCCTGGGATATGGCTGTTCTGTTGGAGAGTTGCTTCCCAGAGCTGCTCCTGAGGGTTGGCAACAGAGAGAACCAAGGGTACAAGGAACATACTGACAGTTTGGCTTCTAAGTGACATCTCAGCTGTATTGACTGGTCCTCCCTTCCTGTTTTGTTTGTCTTTCAAAAATCATACACAGACTCACACCCGAACACATGTCCAGGCTGTTGACTTCACTCTCCATGACCCTTGAGGTGAGGTGGCTGACAGCTGCTCTCCTCCATGCCCACTGCTAATGGACTGTCAGCCTCGTGCGTGCGTGTGCATTGCTGGCTGCAGACTGTGCAGGCTGCTGTAAAAGCAATGCCTCTGGCAAGAAGCTGCACTCACTCGAGTCTCAGCCAGCTGACCCTTGTGCTTTGCTCCTTTTCAAATTGGGACAGTCCTTCCTTGGTGAATGACTAAGCCATGTCACCAGAGGGTGGTGAAGCCTGGTCTGGCCCTGCTGGAAGCCCTGGTGAGGGGCTGAGCCTGGCTCATCAGGAGCTCACCAGCAGAGGTAGGCAGTTGTAACTGTGAGATGCTCTCCTACGGCACAAGATGTAGACATTCTAGAAGAGCTGGTAAATGTCTTGGTCATGTGCTCCTGGCCAAGCTGGCTGGAGGGTAGGAGGAAATTGGTCTGGGTTCTGTGGTGTGATTAAAGGCGTGTCCTGAAATCCATAATCCACGCTTCAGCCGTACCCTTGCTTCTGTATTTCACAGCGCAGCTTAGAATCACCCTACCTTTAGAGAGACAGCCAGATTTAACAAGACAACTCCAGGATGTGTTCTGTATCTGTCTTGTTAATGTGTTTA